TTTTGTTTAGAAATTTTAAAATTCCATTGATCACACTAAAGTAACTCTTGTTTAACACCATAGTTATGCACGTGTCTCTTCTCCTTAAAGTTTTGCATGTAAAAAAATTCAACGAATGGGGTTCTGCTTCAATTTAAATATTATCCAATAAAGAATTTTTAAAATTATTTCTAACATATAAAAGAGGGTTAAATAGATATTTACATTTTTAAATATATGTTCTTTAAAATTCTGGAGTTAAAAAGAAAAACACTAAAATAAGTCAAATTAATATATTTAAAAAAACTAAATGAATATTGATTACTAGTTTAGATCTCTCAACTCTTCCTTAGCCATTCTTTAAATAATTTCATAGAGATTTTTACAAATTTAACTAGAAAACAGAACTTGGAAATTCATGTCATAATTAGTTCCCTTGAATAAAGGTTATCCCCAAACTCGTGAGAAGCTCAGAAGTATTCTAACTGTATTTTTATTAGTGTCATTAGGCAGCTAGTTAGTTTTACTCTGTCTTGTGTGTTGTTTCAAATTAGGTAGCAATAGCTGCCTCTGTAACTATTTGATCTTAAACTATTATTTATATTCTGAGTTTATTAAAAGCATACAACTGTTCAGCATCAATTTTAATCCACTGTGTTTGTTGGCAAAAAAACCATCTTCTCACATTACCGGGGTTTCTGCCATTATTCTAATTATGCAGAAAACAATTCAGCCTATACATATATATACAGTTTGTGTAAATTTCAGAGTTCTCTCTACGGAATCTTTTTGTTCCTCATTGGTCTAGATGGAATCTTAAAATATTACAGAATATTACCTGGACTGGTGTTTTTGTTGGTCTTTTTTTCAGGAAATATTACAACTCAAACATTTTTGTATTTTTCTTTCCACTGGTGGCCAAAAAAAGAAAAAAAAACCACCACCAGCACCACAGCAACAACAAAAACCAACCAAGTTTGCAGGCTATTATCTAACATGGAAGAACAACCAACTCCATTTTTAAGATTGGCAATCAGGATTTTAATCTAATAGGCATATTCTTCTGGGTAAAGTTCAAGGTCTGCATTCAATTGAATTGATTTTCCTGGTCTCAAAATCCCAAACTTAAAATGTAGGAAAGCGTTCAGAGAAATGTGGGTACTGGCGCTTAGTAGTGCTGTGAACAGGATAGATGATTTTCTAACCGCTGACCTTAAGTACTCTGATTCCCACTTGGTTTCTGACACCATTCCTAAAGTTCTGACTCCAAGAATAATGTTGCTGAATGGTGATTGGCTGACAGAATGATGTGATGTCTTCCAGGGGCAGAACTTCTGGGAATAATGTGACTTGGAATATTTATGGGTATTTCTTTTGGTGTGCTTAAAATATTTCCATTCTTCCCATGTCCACCTCATAAACTTTTAAGTATCCCTACCCCATAATTTGTTTTATGATGAGTAACTCAAAAAAGTGGGAGGGGCCCAACCCCAAATGTTCATTGACCTGTTTCAAGAATATTTATAAGTACTTGAACAACACATAAGTGTTTTGCCTTTTAGCAGGTTCAAATATATTTTTGGACTGAAAGAGACAAAATGGGTCAGAGGAATAGGAATTCTACCTATAACCATCCAACCTTATGTCACAGTTTTCCTAAAAACTTAACCAGATCATCTGATAGTTGACAAAATGAACTGCTCATAACAAAATGTTCCACAGCAGTTTTGGGGTCATTTCTGTAAAGTTTGGATAAAGCAATATACTGGGAAACAATCATTTCCCGCTGGGGTTACCTCGGAGTCAAAATAGTGGGACCAGTCACTCCACAGCCCACTTTTCAAGCAGTTTCTATTTTTACATTAAGTATTAATGATACATCTTGCCTATTTCAGTTCAGTAGAAGTTTATCAAACCAACACTTAACACAAAGAGCCCAGTAAATTAAATGCTACCCTCCTAATTGCACTCCCATAGTTTAAAAATATCCCACCAAAATGTGCACATCTGTTTGCAATAGTTCACAAAACATTCCTCTGTTAATATCGTTATAAACCCTAACAACTCAACTAGAGTAGAGAAAAGAATTTTCTCATAACCACATGCTACTCAGACGGTTGCTATCCTTTTACTTTTCCTGTTAGCAGGAAAGGACTGCTATCACGGCAGCTCAGAATGGCTGTTGGACATTAATTAAGAATCCTAGCTGAAAAGCTCCAGAATATACTTTTTTGTGGAGTGTTCGTGCAATTTCCTTAAATATACTCCATTTTCCACTCTCGCTTTTCTCTGGTCTACTAAAATTCTCCTGCTGGATATAAAGACTTTATATCATATATCGCCATTCCTGAAACAAGGCAAGTGTCTTAACCATGCTGTTTATTTGTTGGTAAAGTTGGAATAATATGTAAGTACATGTTCATTAACGACCTACTGTGTGCAAGGCATTTCTTCCCATAAAACTAAATCAAGTAAAATAATTTATGAAAAGGTGCTCTGAGAAAAACTAAGTTCTGCAGTTAAACCATGGTGTGTGTGTGTGTGTGTGTGTGTGTGTGTGTGTGTGAGATCTGCCCTTGAACTCTGCATTTCATCAAATTCTCCTAGTGGTAATTACATTGCTTTATTTTAATCCCTGTTTGTCCAAGTTTCTTCCTTAGAGTTTTTTGGGGCTATAATCATTTAAATTGCATGTCAAGTTATTGGAATTCCTCTCCTTGAAGTATATTTGTCTTTCTATCCTAGACTATATGTATGATAATATATGTGGTAAAAATATATATAAAATATATATGATAAAATATAAAATATATAGATGATAAAAATGCTATTTTTATACTTATTGTTAAGGACAAAAAGATAATGGAATTGAAAGGTAATAGAATAAAACTTTAAAATATCATCCCTGAAAAGTTATAATCAACTCCAGGTATTTAAAAGATTCTAGTTTTCCTATGGCAGGAAAATCTTCCCCAAATTCCGATACACGTTCAGCAGGTGGTATCATTAGATTTGAGAATCAGTCTCTCTTTTTATCCTTCAAACCTGTGAAGTAACGTGTCACTCTGTGGACTAACACTGCTGTGGACTGAGGAATGGGAGGAGAACCCAGCAGGATCAAGGTCTCCCCATACCATTGACTCTCCTGGCAGTGATTCTTTTGCTAAAGGCGGTTTTTAGTTCTTCCTTCCGATTCATATCACCAACAGAGAATGAGTTAAAACTTGTTCCAGTGAGCTGGACTAACTATTCCATAAGTATTTGGTGAACATCTACTCTGTCTTCCATGCTTTGCAAATTGGCAACACTGTACGTGATGTCTGAATTGGTTAATGAAAGAAAAAGTTGGCCGCTCAGTAAGATCCTGAGCGAGAGGCAGCTTTAAATCACTAAGTGATGACTGTGAGGAATGTTGATCAGGTTTAAATACATAAACAGACATTCTTCGATTTTAGGCTTTCCTTGGACAATTTGTTTTGTTATTACCTAGCATTAATTGAGCTCTCTTTTTCTCATATCCTTCGAGCCTTTAAAATCTGAACAAAAGTAGGCAGATTGCATTCATTTGAACATTCATTTGCCTGGAGACATTTGAAAGAATTGAAGTCTTTGTGAATATCAAACGCCATAAATTTAAGCAAATAAGCTTTTGTGCCATACTTTATTATTTTGTGTGTGCCATACTTTATAAATTGCTTTATCATGGAGAGGTATCTTTTGCCCTGCGTTAATAAGAAATAGACATAGCTACTTGCTTCTAGGTTTTGTGAATTCACAAAGAGCATATGTGCTCTATTCTATAAAGGACAGGCTTTAAATATTATTCTGTTTATTATTTTAAACACTAATAAGAAGTATCAAATATTGCACAAATCAATACCATATGCTCTCACTCAAGGTTGCAAATATTATAAATTGTCTGAAATATTCTGTCTCATTAGATAGTTCAGAAACTTTAATTTGTTAGGAAACATAGCATTCCACAAACATGTCCGTGCCAGGTTTAGTATAAAATAGCAAAGCATAAACCCATCATTTTATAGTTTTGATAAGAAATGTAAGTGGAATTTAAGCTGTGAGGTTTTTCCTTTCTTTGGTGAGATGACACACATAATTTCCAAGTTATTGAATGGACAGATCAATTTGTCATTTTACCCAGCATGTTGACAGAACGTCAACGCTAGAGCTAGTCCTGGCGATTTATTAATCTGCTCTGCCATCCTCTGGGGATTGAAAGAAGCTGTGCTGACTAGCCTGGTGTGTAAGAGATCAGAACCCTGAAATTCTTGAAATCTCTATATTGCCTTTGCACTGTTAGCCCCTTTTTAAAATTTTCTTTCAACTCTTCCTGTACCCTCTTCTTCAGGGAAGGGGGCATTTATGCAGACTCTAATGTGTGCCAGGCAGAGGGCTCTTACAGATATATGGAATTTCATTTAATTCCTCAGGCTGAATAAAGCAAACTCAGCACTTTGAATTGAAAAATTACATATATATATTATCCCTTTTCTACGTTAGGATGGTGCTAAGAGAATAGGACATATGTTTCGGATTAATTTTCCAGAGGGGGGGAAGAATGTGCTGGGAGCCACCACACACTCCAGCCCCTTTTCCTTTTGACCAAGTTAAGTTGATTAGTCCGGGTTTCTCATGTGGTCTGTGACCAAAGGATGACATGGTCCCCCCCCTGCCCGCGTGAACCTAAGTGATCAAACGTGAGAGCTCTCAATTCCATAGATCTCATGCTTGGATGCCCATTAGAGTCATCTGAGCAGCTTTAGAGAAGTGCCACTGCCTGGACCCCACCTCGGCCAGTTAAATCAGAATCTCAGGGACTAGAGCACTGGTTATTTGTAAAGTTCCCCAGATGTTTCTATGCACTTGTGCACCCAGGACACCTGCCCTCTCAGTGCTTCGCAAATCTTAATGTGCATACCAGTCACCTGAGAATCTTATTAAGATGCAAATTCCGATGCTGCGGGTCTGGAGTGGGGCCTGAGAGTCTGCATTTCTCACGAGTGATGTCGGTGCTGCTGGTCCATGAAGCACACACTCTTGGTGTCAGGGACACGGACGGACGTGTGAACATCCTCACACCCAGAACTAAGCAAAGATATAGAAATAAAAGTAGTTTCCCTCTGTCGCCTCAGCTAAGCCCCGATAACAATATTGGCCTGGTCCACCACTTTCAGTTAGACTTGGAAATGCTTGCTCTGCAGGGTTGAGAGAAGGACAAAACACTTGAACCCTGAAGCAACTGTAAAGAGCCTTTATGCTCAAAGCTGTCATTTTTATGCAGGACTCAGTAGACCCAGAAAGTGAAGTCATGAAGTCAGTCGTGCTTCGGTTGTTGGGTAAAACCCTTCATGGATGATATTTAATACCATTACGTTGGTTTCAGGCTGTCGCCAAGTTGATGTCCGTAGATTGCCGCTGTCACGGAGTTTCCGGCTCCTGCGCTGTGAAAACGTGCTGGAAAACCATGTCTTCTTTCGAGAAGATTGGCCACTTGTTGAAGGATAAATATGAAAACAGTGTCCAAATCTCAGACAAAATAAAGAGGAAAATGCGCAGGAGAGACAAAGATCAGAGGAAAATACCGATTCGCAAGGATGATCTGCTCTACGTTAATAAGTCTCCCAATTACTGTGTCGAGGATAAGAAACTAGGGATCCCGGGGACACAAGGCAGAGAATGCAACCGCACGTCAGAGGGCGCGGACGGCTGCAACCTCCTCTGCTGTGGCCGAGGCTACAACACCCACGTGGTCAGGCACGTGGAGAGGTGCGAGTGCAAGTTTATTTGGTGCTGCTACGTTCGCTGCAGGAGGTGTGAAAGCATGACTGACGTCCACACTTGCAAGTAGCCCCTCCATCCAGCGTTGAGCAACGCTGCTCAGTTACAGCTGAGGGAGTGTCATCCAGAGGGTGCCTCTCACCCTGCAGGGCTGGGGAGGCGGACTCCGGCGTCAGAAGCCCCAGACCCTCGTGCCTCTCGCTGAGCCCCCTTTACCTGGTGGATATCCAATCGCACACAGAGCATGTGGATTTTGGGGGGATGTCAGAGTTGACCAGCTTTGGGTTCATCTTTTCCTGGCTTAGAAATATATATTGACACACCAGGAAGATAATCTGTCTCCTAAACAAGAAAGAACAGGAAGCAGCCTTCACGCAGGGAGACCCGGTCCATACTCAGGATAAGATCCTGGACTCTGGAACTCAGCTATGAAACTCAATAGTGGTGGGTGAATAGTAGGCATTTTTAAAAGACACCTCTTCTAGCAGAAAGGAACAGTAAACATGATCTCATTTATTCTCTCAGTATTTTAGATGAAGAAATCATACTGTTTGTGCATAGAAACAGACGCTGAGAAGTTAACAGAAGTGGTGGGTGCTTACTTACCCTTTCACGCCTTTTAAAAGGAAGGCAATTAAAAAGAATTTTCGTAAGTGATACAGTACCCCTAAAAAGTGTTTGCTAGAGATGTTTAGTGACAAAAGGGAAGAATCTAAACGTTAAAAAGTAAAATGTATGGTTTGGATTTTAAGTGCCTTTTAACTAGGAGAATTTATCTAGAAAAATCTCAGATATACAGCAATCGTTTTTGGCTTCATTTTTTTAAAAATTTAAATTTAAGTTATTTAACATATACTGTAGTTGGCTTCATTCTTTAATGGTAGACCAATTTCTACCATTAAAACCCCAGCTTGGAAATAATGGGGAGGATAGGGATCTTGAAAGCAGGTGGGAAAATTAAAGGTAAAAACATAAAGGGCTCTCATACATTGTAAGGGAAAGCACCCTTTAAATGTGTAAAGACAGTATTTTGTATAGCATTTTGCTAAAAAAAAAGTTATATATTTTGTAAATACAGTATTTAAGTTATATGATATATATGAAAACTTAAGACATTTATTGCCAAAGCCCAAGAGCTAAGGCAATAAAATTATCTCAGAAATAAGATTAGCTTCTGTTTCTTTTCATACTATTAACTCTTTTTTTAAATGTTGAAAAAGAAGTTGAGGAGTTAGTTATATGGATGTGTTTTTCTTGTCAAAATGACAGTTTTACATGTTATAGATTAAAATATGCTGCAAAATACTGAGAATTGTGTTATTTCAGCAGATTAGTTCAATTCTGCTTTTAATTAGTTGTGCTTAACTTGTAAGGTTATTATAATAAATTATGCAGTAAAAGTGTTAACGGATAAAAGAATCTAAATCAAAATAATGATCAATTTGTGGATTTGATATCCTGGATATTTATTATATTGTATGTAATGCTGCATTTCCATGTGAATGTTGAATGGTCTTTCTAAGTTTAGTATTCATGCATGTATATTCATCATATTTTACAAGGTTCCCGTTTAAAAATTACATGGCTACATTTAAGGCTGTGTTTAAATGTAGACGCTTATGTTTTTTATGAATTGTTAAACATTTCAGTATTATGTAGGAAAAATTTCTAAATTCAGAAAGGACAAAGAAAGAATTTTCTTTTTCTTATAGTAAGCTAAAGAAATGTCTTCTTGCCCACAGGTCTCATTCTATTGCCTTTCCATTTTATTTACCAAGGCAGAGCAATAATGTGTGAAAAACAGCAAACCCATGGAAAATATCTCAGGCCTGCCTATTATTAAATTCAAGGCAAAACATTTAATTGTGACCCTTAAAGTTTAACAAAAAAATATTATTTATAAATGAAAAACTCAGAAATGACAATTGAATAAATATAGTACTTATTTAAAAGAGTGGTTTATCAATCTTTAGCATCCACTGATTAGAATAACCTGAGAGACACTTATTTTCATGTCTTTTTTTTTTTTTTTGCATAGTAAATCTATTTTGTCTGCATTGAAAATAAGCACTTTTTTTTTTAAGATAAAGAATAGTTCCCATTAACAACCAATTTCCTCTATTAACTAGAAATCTTTTCGTAATTACTTTACCAACCAATTGGAAAAACCAGACAGCCTCTAATTCCCAAATACCTGGTTACAATTCAGCGGTTGCTGAAGATGGTGATGCCAACTCAGACTCTCCTCTCTGGGATGCCTGAGCAGGAACTCCTAAGACCCATGCTGTGTCTCTGGCTTCTTCTTTTACTTCTCCTCCCTGGCATCACCACGGAAGCCATCCTTGAATTTCTCACCCGTTTTACTGAGCTTGGACTTGGCTCATTTTCTTCCCACTCTCCATCATGGTTGAGGTAGCACCATGGTTGCTCTTGGGAATACAAGTTGTGGAGCCCAAATGGTCCTATCCAGTCTAGGCTATTTTGCCCACGTTATTTAGGGCTCTTTATGTTACAAGTCACAGAAAACGCAACCCAGACTGACAAACAGTAAAGGAAATGTACTGACTAGGTAACTGAAAGTCCAGAGTTGTGACTGGTTCCGATAAAGCTTGATCAAAAAGTTCACACTGTGCTCCCATGGTTCAGGTCTTTCCAGCTCTAGCCGAAAACAGTCTGGCTTCTGCAGTGTTGTCGTCTACTTCAGGCCCCACATGGTGGGGTGGACCCTCCCCGCCCCCACTCTGCCCCCAGTGGCCTCAGGCTCTCCTCTTTTCTTAGCAACATGGCTGCCACACTCCCCCCAGACCTCACCTTCTCCTACCACTCATTCTAAGGAAAGAGAGAGGTTCTTTTTTGGTTGCTCCCATAGGAGAGATGGAGAACTTTGTTTTTTCCTTCTTCACAGAATGCCCAGCAAAGGTTCTTCTGAGTCTCATTGGCTCCAGTTGGTTAATGTGTCCATCCTTGAACCAGTCAGAATGGCCATTGGAAGTTGGAGTTAGGGGATAAATACACTGATCATCTTAAGGTAGTCAAGACCCATGCCGAACCTGGCAGTGGGGTCAATTCTAACGAAACCCACATAGCTTGAGAATAGGGAAGGGGTGAATCCGCAGAGGAAAACCGGGATGTGATGTTACCATTAAAGGGTACGTGGGTGCTGGGCAGCACAGACATAAGCTGTCCTCAGCTCTAGTGATGTGTTTTGAAAACAGCTTTCCGGCAGCACTTGCGTCAGGCTTATAGCCACACAAAGTGCTGTGGATTATGTATAGGATACAAAGTGCCTTCATTTGTTTAAATGCCCTTTATGACCTTAGAAGTGTAAAAGGGGAGGAGAGGTGATCTGGTGTATTAATTTTACACTTAGGCGTTCAACTATTTTATAAATTGGGAACTGCCTAATAGAGGCAGCGGTAAGAGGCAATGATGATTGTCTAAAAATGATACCAAGAAAAACATATCAAATGGCATAATCTGTAGCCTCTGGATAAAGAAGTTTGCTAATTAAAACATTTCCCTGATAGCAGTATTTTACAAAACATTAAAAGCACTTGAATTTGTTTGACTATAAACAACTGCATTATTTCCCTATTCACAATCTGGATGATAGTTGTTTTTGTTTTTAAACAAACTATGATAGTTGTATTTAGAATAATGATAGAATTCAATTATATAAGTTAGATACTTGGACCCTGTATGTTTTTGCAGCTTTGTAATCATGTGACATCCACAGTAGGTATTTTTGAAACACACTTTAACTTTCTGAAGTACTGTCAGTCCTGGTAGGTTTGGGTTTTCACTTAGTTTAAAATGTGGGACCAGAAAAGCTTTCCATCAGCATATTGTTTGATAGGCAATTGGATGAGCTGCTGGTACTTGTTGCATCCCATCCCAAAGTCCACTAAAGACTGCAGAGTCAAACCAACCATTTGGAGTCAGTTAGTCCATGATCCAGAGCACTATAATCCACTTAGCTGACTTGCAGAAGAAAAATTCAAATCCTATCTCCAGGAACCATGAATACTGCTCAGGACAAGCCCTTCTCAGGGAAAGTTGGCTAGGAAGCCTTGATTTTTTTCTTTTTTTAAAATTTCACTCTCACTGTAGACCAGATGTGATAAGTCATAATATTTCTTGGAGTAGGGTGATGGGGTAAGCTGAAGGACATAAATGCATGTGGCACAGCATGAAAGGGGGACACAGGGGGACACCAGGGACTCATTTCCTTTGAAACAGAAAATAAGAGCAGACACTTAGATAGCGCTTACTCTGTACCAGGCATTGTTTCCAGTAACTTCTATGTATTAATCAGAATCTGTGCCCTTCGCCACCATGTAATATTGTGCCTCATGCAACATCAAAATTGTCACACACTGCGTTTACAGTATACCATTTAAAGAGTTTTTTTTGTATTTGTAAATATAACAAAAATTACAGGATGTTCCTTCAGGGTTTGGCTGTATAAATTTGGCTGAAGCACAGTAGTGAAGTGATGGAAGAACTGAGATCTTAGAATTCACCATGAAATAGAATTAAAAGACACTGCCTCTTGATTTCTAAGCTCAAAGTGATTTGAACTCCCTGCTATTTTAGATCCCAGTGTGGTTGACAGTTGGATTTTGCCGGAGCCTAACAATCATTCCAAAAGGAAATGACTAGGGGTAAAGATCAAACTAACTTAGTGTGACATTAAATAAATACTTACGTCCTTTTTATTGTGCTTACAGCCAATTGTTGCATAAAGTGTCATTTTTAATACATGGATGAATCTTACCATTGGTAATGATTTACATTCATACCCAAAGCAAAACCACTAGAGGTGGTTTGCATGATTTAAAAAACCTTTTGAAACAAAATCAGGATCAGAAAAGCAGCCTCTCCCACTGATTATAAAGGAAAGTAATAATAAATGTGGTCCAAGTCAACACAAACTGCAGTTTCGTATGTGATTTAATTTGCAGAGTAAGTGGAAGCATCTGATTGGTGTGCAAGAATGGAAAAGCGGAACGAGTGGGGGACAGAGGGCTGCCCGGTTCTCTCTGTCCCAGTGCTGTTCTGAATCCTCGGGGAGGCTCACCTCCAAACGGGCCAAGGAGCCTTCCCCTTTGCATGCTAGTAACAATCAAACCCTCGTAATCATGCCCATACCCACTTGGTCATGTTTAGCTAAGAAGGAAGGGTGGCCTCTTGCAGCCCCCAATTATTCTTTGACAAAAGAGAAATGTCACCAAAATTAACTGCACATTTAAATACTCCTCGAACTCTTCATTAACTAAACGTATAAATATACAAAATGTAAGTCAGTAATCACCTTTGTTTCTAGTACATAATCCCTACTTTTTTTTTTTTTAAAGTGGTTTTTTGTAAATTGTATCATTTTCATTTTCCCTCCAGCTTTACTGAGATATAACTGACATACAACATTCTGTAAGTTTAAGGGCCTGTCCATTGAAGTTGCTTCATCTCAAGCTCCCGGGCAGACAACCAACGTGTGCTCCATATAGGTTTGTACGAGGCAAGCCAGCAAAATGGAAACACTGAAAAAGTGAATGTGATAAAACCTCTTCGACATGCCCCCTATTTAATGGGTACGGGCTGAGTGACTTTACAAGCTGAAAAATAAATTTCACTACTCAGAATGAGAAGTTCCCTCCTTTTGCTGGTTTGAACACTTCTTCCTTTCCCCGGATGTCCACTTTATCATTTCTTGAGAAACTAAACTTTGTCGATAGAGAACTACAATCTCAAATTTGCAACTGTCACAACTGTCATTGTGTCCATGTCCAACACACCTAATGCTGTAGAATTAGAGGGAACCTTCCCTAAACAGACTATTTCCGTAACAGAATTTTAATGTACCCTTGTAAGGTGTTAACAGTTCCACAAGAATTGGCTTCCCACCTCATTCCTGGGCCAGAAGTTTCAGATTTCTATAGAAGTACAAGCTCAGGTGATTATTGGAATTGCCAGTGCCTGGAGAACCACAAAAGCCCGAATTCTGCGTGTGAAAAGGAGTTTGGTTGGTGTCAGTGCGGATTGAATGAAAGAGCAGGTGTATGGCCAGAGGCTTAGGTCCAGGTGAAGAGCTGCATCCTTGTCGCAGCTTTAGCGTCCAAGTCATTCAATGGCTCCTTTCTGGCTTGGTGTCTTCGTCCGTTCAGGTTGCTATTAACAAAACACCATAGACTGGGGGGCTTATAAGCAACAAAAATTCAGTTCTCATAGTTCTAGAGACCGGGAAGTCCAAGATCAAGGTGCTCGGAGATTTAGTGTCTGGTGAAGGCCTGCTTCTTGGTTCATGTGTTTTCTTGCTGTGTCGTCACATGGCAGAAGGCAGGAAGCTCTCTGGGGTCTCTTTGATAAGGGCTCTACCTTCAGTGAGGGCTCTACCCTTCCGACCTAATCGCCCCCCAAAGGCCCCACCTCCAAGTACCATTGCATTGGAGATTAGGTTTCAACATAGGGATGCTGGGGGGCTACAAACATTAAGACCATAGCATTCAGTAGGATGGGATTGGGAAGCTGAAGGAGGCTGGCCAACTTTTCTCTTTGGCTAAAAAATGACTAGCCTTCAAGAGGCACAGTCGATCAGAAGAGCAAGACTAGCAGTTGCATCTCATGCAGTGCATGCCAGGCACTTCGGCAGGCACCACAAATGCGTGGTACCATCCCTCACTTACTGTAGTGAGGAGGCGGACCTTCTCAGGTTCCTCGTGCAGTCAACAATGAGGTAGAGAGACACACACTCAGGCAAGTCTGACTCTTACCCAATGCACTACACTGTCTCCATTACCGAATTCACTCCTCTTTAAGGTTGTAGGCCCTTTTCCTCGCTGGCGATCGAGTAAAATAAATATGGGCGGATTACATGGAACATCAGAAGCATGCAGTTTCATCAGTCAATTTTCCCAAATATAGGACTATGTTTTGCCAACTTAGTCTCAACTTCTTTCAATGTCCAATGCACTCCAGTGATGGGCATACTTTATGTAGAGCTGAAGTGAGTTTTGTTTCTATTTAAGTAATCCCTAGAGCCAAGGTGGGGCTCCAACTCACGACCCCAAGATCAAGAGCCACATGCTCTACCGACTGAGCCAGCCAGGCGCCCCTGAACGGTGAGTTTAGTAATGGCAGCAAGTTGTACCTGTGAACTAGCTGTTCTGGGAAGGTGGTAATAAGTCTGCTTATAAACTGCCCATCAAACAAGGCAAGAGGCATTTTTCTTCTAACTGAAGGGCCAGCCAGTCCTTTTCCTTTCTAGAAGAGACATCGTAGTATTGAAAGCATTTCCTCCATAAAGCTGCCCTCCAGTGGCCTACACCCTCGCTGGATTGCAGGAAGGTACTGGTGGACGTAGTCTCAGGTTCCTGGATGGCCTTCCCCATGCTTCCTCAAGCTGCCTAGCAACAGACTGCCGCTCCCAAGCCAGGCCTGCCTAGTTTTTGCTCTAGCTACCTTTGATTTGACAGGAACCTCAAGAAAGGGGGTGTGGGAGAAGAGACACAAGCAGCAGGATGGGAGTAGTGAAACTGAGAGAGCTCTGAGGGGAACAGGTATTGAGTAGCTATTGGCATGTGACAATCAAAAACCAAGTATGTGATAGAAAAATCATCCTGGGTAGAGGCAGCAAAATAATTCCGAGGGGTGCTTTAGAAAAGGTAAAATTTGGTACTTTACCCTGCCACTGTTAATCTACATGTACCAACTGCTGTCCAAGGCCTGATTGAAGAGGTTAAGTGGCAAATCTTTTCCCCGATCAACACAAGTAATTTTTTTCTTTAATACTCATTTTAAAAAGTATTCTAAATATATTTGTACTCTTAATATTCTACCTGAACTCAACGCATTTCTCATTCCTTCAATTAAAAATGGGGTATGTCAGCTGAATTGAAACTATCATCTCTTTTGGGGTTTCAAATTATAATTTGTAAAAACTGTTAAAAGTATAAATGCAATGCAGGCTAAATGCCTTGAGCTTCACCTGGCATAAAATAATAAAATATTAGCTGATTCATTTCAAAACAAATACAAAATGCAGACAGAACAATGATAAATTTTACTTTAATCAAATTAAAGTCAGGAATATAAAGACTCTGGCTCAATTTTTCTTTAATTTCCCAAATATCACTTATTTTCCTACTGTCTTAGCTTAATTAATAGGAACATTATAATACACTTGTTCCAGAAAAAAAAAAAAATTGTGATTACAAATAAAAAATATGCATCCAAAAGTCCTTATACACCATTTAATATACCAAAATGTCAATGCCAAATTTCTGATTTTAATAAAGAAAATTCTTAACATTAAAGGAACATTGTTTCATTTATAATGTGGACTTTTAAAAGACATCTAAACATGAAATGTAGTAAAATTATTGCTTCCAAAGTTGGCACAATCTATACAAGACAGAATTGAAACAAAAGCAAACTGCACCAAAGCCGCCCCAAGAATCTGTCTTTCTCCCTTCTTCGGACATTTTGCACAGCTTCATGAAGCTATCGTTTTATAGTTTTTACCACGAAAGGGATGTCTTGCCATCTGGATACTTAAATTCTATACATGTTAAGATATATCCTGAGGATACTAGTGTGTTAAACCACAGGAATGTCTTAAATTTTCCATGCTAAGCAGTACAATAAATGCTTGACAAACATTAATATGAAGTTCTGCAGGTATATTACTTTGCCAGACAATACAAAACAATTCACAATGCAAAACCAAGAGTATTTTCATTATTTAAAAAAAAAAAAAATGCGAAAACGCAACATTTATTTCACCATCCCTGGAACTGGAAAATAGCTATTCTTTTAATTGACAGAATTTAGGGAAGTATTTTAAATGTCAAGATACACATGCTGAATATGAGTTATAATATAAGCACCAGAAATCTGAAAAGTTTACAAAAATTCTTTAAATGTGTAAGGTGCATTTATTCTTGAATTACATTCAGTTTGAGAGAAGAACCAGTACCCCAAAGTTCATTAATATTTAAGAAATAGCTGGATAGCTTCCAAGTTGGTTTACAGCAAAATAAAAATACTGCCTTTAGTTTTTTTATACAAGTCATCTAAAATTTAGATTCAAAATTTAAGTGCTGCCTTCTATTGTGAGTAGTTTGATCGTTAATTTATGTTCCAGTTTAAGATACTTCATACACTATAGGTATTTAATGCCCTAACACAAAAACAAAACAAAAACAAACAAACTTGAGCCATTTAGTGAACATCTCAAGTGAACACAATTTTATGTAGAGCTGGGTATGAAATCATCTGGAGTCAAATAAAGATTATTTTTTAAATGTTATCAGTCCACTCAGTACTTAAGACTTTCCTAAATATGTCGTTATATCTTCAGGCAAAAATTGCTATTACGAAGTTAGATGAATACAGAATTCTATTTCTTGGTTTACCATCCAAATAATGGTGACATTAAAGCATGCCTCTTTCTAAACCACTTGGTCAATGCTGGTAACAATTAAATAAGGAAACCTCCACCAGCGTTGTGTTAACTACATAGCCACGGCTGTCCCGAACCCACTGGTTAGGGTGCAGAAGGGCCGGGGCCCGTGTCCCTGGCTCTGTGCGGCTGCCGCCCCCGGCCTCATTCTAAGCAGCTTCTGTGAATTCAAATTATTCACACTGCCAACACAAAACCCAGAAAGCTACAGTCCTGAATACCACTTACATTTACATATTTCCTTTTTTACTGTGTACATTAAAAAAAAGAATTCTGTTGTGCTTTTCACATATCTGATATAGGTTTTCATATCGTTTTATTTCTAGGTTTTTTTGGGAAGAGAAGAGAAAAACAGAAAAAAGGTACACCAGAAAGTCAGACTATAAAGGAACATTACACACACAACTAGCCAGGTATCTTTGTAATTTAAAAGATACTATCATTAAAAGTCAACATATATATGCATATATATATATACGAATATGGATATATAGACACACACACGCATACATATATAAAATAAAACAAAGTCTCCTCCCTAAAATCCATATTATTCCATGATAGGTTTTCACAGCAACCCGTATGTATATCAATATATTTTTCACAATCTATTCAGTTATCCATTGGGTATGCTTTTAGAATTAAAAGATGTCATTACTGGAGCAGTCTAACACTGTACTATTATTAGGGAAATGTGCTTAGAAATGGTTCAGTGATTTGCTCATTATGATGACTATTTACAAAGGCGTCTATTTACGTTAGCAATAAATAATCCTGATATCAAAAGAGATAATGCTCATGCACACACCGAGATGGCTGCATGCTCCTAAAGTATTTACATGTAGCTTCTCTGTCACAGCTCAGCCATTAATAGTGAAAGTGCGTTTCCTTCAAGTTCCTCTGCATTAATCTTGCTTCTGGGGGATGCATCCTTCCATTTCGACAACTTCGGGCCATCCTTCATATTTGTTTGTGTCCTTATTGTTCTTTATGTGCTGTTGGAATACAGTAATAGTATACAGTTAAAAAAAAAAAAAACAACCTTTATGAACTGCTTCTCTACCATAACATACTTTAGTGTACTCGTTTCAGTAACACTCAAGTCAGTGATGAATTCATGCAAATTACTGCTCAAGAGAGTAAATGAGCAACCCCTGGGGCCGGGCAGACCTTCAAATACCAGCCGAAAAGAACAAAACAGTGCAGAAGTTTTCAGAAGGATCATTTGTTAGCCAAAAGGCAAAGTTTACATTCTACTAAGTTCTAAAGTATTTCTAAACTTAACTGATTATACTATCAAAAGCTCAAATAAAATCTTTATGAACGCTTCCTAAACGGCTCATGATAAAGGCAATCATATGCCAATGCACTGACATATAGGAAAAAATTTTCCATGCAGAATAGGACTATTTTTCAGTTTTGATTTTAAATCAGTGCATGATTATTTCAAGTAACTGATTACCAAGAGCTTATGAAAAAATATATAAACATATTTAATGGCTGCTTTGTCTAAGTTTCAAATAACTAGGATACGACTATGCACTATATGGTTTCACACAATTTACTTTTGTCCATTAATTATGAAAGTCTAAGACACTAACCTGTTCAAAGGGGCTTTTTGTCTTGATGCCTTTCCCACCACAGAAGACCCAGTTGTCTCTAAAACCAAGATTAGTAATAGATGTACTTCCCAATTCAGCAATGAGCCGCCGTGCCTCATCATTGAGTCTTAAAGAGGAAGAAAAGAATAATACGATGAACACAGAGCACTGTATATTATCTAAGTAATACTGATTTGCCAGTATATTAACATGTAACACGGATGAGAAAATACCAGCTTAAATAAGAGAACATAAAAAAATATAGAATTTTTTTCAGAGCAACATTCCTGCTATTTGAATTCTCTAGTGACAACAGACACGAAATCTAGCAATTAGTTTTAAGTTTATTCTATGAAGAAATACCTTTTAGATGTCTTTATTTTACAATAATTCACTTTCATCCACATCCATCAAATAAATAAGGGATACTGTAGTTAGCAGATGCCTACTTAGGTTAATACAAGGTCTTAAGCAACCCATATCTTCGTAAAATTAAAAATCACTTTGAATTTCCACTAATCCCTTTGTGAATTACATCTGAATAAAGGTAAATGCTAACAAAAATCTAGGTGCTTCTAATACTATGGTTTCTTTAAAAGAAAATGAACCTTGAGAGTAAGTATATAAATTATACTTTAATAAATGTCGAGTGATTATTTAATAAAAATGAACATTAACCAGACAGCAGTTAAGTACCTGCCAACGAGGAAGGGCAGTGGCAAAAGTCAAGTGGTAGGGAAATAGCTAAATGAAATTTGGCATTAAGGAATTTTGTGTAGGGGGGGCGCCTGGGTGGCTCAGATGGTTAAGTGTCTGCCTTCGGCTCAGGTCATGATCCCAGGGTCCCGGGATCGAGTCCCCATCGGGCTCCCTGCTCAGTGCCGAGCCTGCTTCTACCTCTCCCTCTGCCATTCCCTCCGCTTGTGCTCTCTGGCTCTATCTCTCTGTCAAATAAATAAAATCTTTAGAAAAAGAAATAAATTTTGTGTAGGTTATTATCTTAATGCTGAGAATTCTCAATATCCCCTCTGTCTCACAAAAAAAGAAGAGGTTCAGTAGATACATGCCGGCTGTAGAGAAAAAAAAAAAAGGCAGTAAGGTCTCTATAGCTCCCAAAAGATGGCACTTACAGGTCAGTTGGAGAGGTCTGTTCTGCTAAAATCTGAGTCAAGGGAAGTTTTATATTTGCAAATAGCTGGGGGTGGGGGGGGATCACTAAATGCAAACAGCACGAGTGAAGAAGGTACTTATTTATCTGACTGTTGAAACATCTCATGCTTGTATCAGTCAGCTCCTTCAATGTATTAATGAAAGAAACACTAGGTACAAGAGTTCTCATTTAACTAACTTCAAGATGAACAAAATAATTTGTTTTAAAAAAAACTTCATAAAAAAGAACGAACTGCATATATATATATATATATATTAGACTTCCAACTGATGCAAACCACATCCATGGGCAGTGGAACTTTTTTTAATTTTAATTCCAGTGTAGTTAAGATACAGTGTTATATTAGTTTCAGGTGTACAATATATTGATTCTATGATTCCATACAACACCTGGTGCTCTTCACCACAAGGACACTCCTTAATCCTCATCACCTATTACCCCATCCTCCCACTCACCTCCCCTCCGGTAACCAGCAGTTTGTTCTCTATAGTTAAGAGGCTGTTTCTTGGTTTGTCTTGCTCTCTTTTTCCTTTACTTGTTTTGTTTCTTAAATTCCACCTGAGTGAAATCATATGGTATTTGTCTTTCTTTACTGACTTCACTTAGCATTATATTCTCTAGCTCTATCCATCTATGTCATTGCAAATGGCAAGATTTCGTTCTTCTTTATGGCTAATATTCGTGTGTGTGTGTGTGTGTGTGTGTGTATATGTATATACATATCCACCACATCTTCTTCATCCGTTCATCTTTCGATGGACCCTTGGGCTGCTTCCGTTATCTTGGCTATTGTAAATAATGCCGTAATACACATAGGGGTGCCGCTACCCCTTTGAATTAGTATTTTTGTATTTTGGGGGGTAAACACCCAGTAGTGGAACTGTTTTAACCACAGCCTGGGCACTGCTCTCCTGGAGGAAGTTCACTAGAATCACTGAGAAAATCACCTATAACCCTACAATATTTAGACTTTCAGACCCAAATCTATATAAAGTGATGCACTTACAACCTGGTGAAATAAAAATAAGTGAAATAACTGTGCAAAAGAACCCCTGGAGTCCTGGCCTCTCTGAAGATTTTGAGACCTCAGAGACTCAAGTCCACGTGCTTCCAGCCTTCTCCCCAAAGTCTGCAGCCACATTATCCTATGCCGTGCTTACATGAATCAGCCATCACTCCACATTTGTTTGCTGACTTGATAAGCAAGGTGTGTATTAGAGGGACACTCCCTGAAGGCATTGCCTGAACCCTGTCTTCTTGTTTCCACTGGCACCTCATGGGCTCTTAGGGTTGCTCAATAATGAGTGAATGTGAAGTTCACAAATACCAAGGGACTGCTTTAGATGCAAAAACTGCCTGCAAAGTAGGTGGTTTATCCCAGTGCAGGCCTGGCTGCCTGCAAAAATTGTGAATCAATTAAGAAATACATTGAAGGGCAGTCATTTTTACTCCTGTACTTCTGAATTTCAGAACTGATCATTTTGATCTACGTGAATAAACTAAGCCAAGTTAGCCAGAGATCTAGAAGCAACTGGAAAATTTCGCTTTGCTTGGACCCCCTCCGTTCATCTCTCCTTCCTCTTCCTTCCCCGGGAGAACGCCCGCAGGTCCCGTGCAGGGAAGGGCGGGGCACAGCGGCCTGGGAGGCTGTCTGTAGAAAAGCCGAGGGGCAAGCTGAAACCCGCCGGCAGACCGGCAGCCTGGATTCGGCGGCGGCTCCCCCGCACTCCGGAACTGAGGGCAACGGGACGCTGCACGAGCGGTGCAGTCTACGCAGAACACCTACTTCCTGCCGGGGAGGCTGGAATTTGGGGGGGTGTCAGGCGGGGGTGCCTCTGAGCAAGTAACATCCCTGGGCACCGAGTCCCCAGTACACACCAGACAGCACTTCGCAGTGCTGTCACCGTCTCTCGCCGGAGGAGGGAAGCGCATCCTGTGCGACTCCACCTGAGAGGGGACGCGGGGAACCTGAAGCCCAGTTCCCGCCAGACTTCACTCAGCGCACATTTCCCCTTTGCTAATTTTGCTTTGTATCCTTTTGCTGTAACAAATAGTAGCCATGAGGTGAGCAGGGCTGCAGGCCGGGTCCTGTGAGTCCTAGCAAATCATCAGACCCAGGGGTGGCCTCGGGCACCCCTGCCACATGTCTCTATGTATATCTAAGTATGGTTGTAAAACAAGATTAAGTTTCTCAATAATTTCTAAAGTTCTCTGCTCTGCCTATGTAGAATTTGAAGGATTTCATTATTCCTTTTTCAAATCTTTCGTTTAAGTAGAAGACGATTTCATGTTTCAAAAAGAAGTTTAAAATCATGCAAAGGCAGCCAATATTTTCAGCACTGATTCAATACACATTAGATATCAAAATGTCCCATTTCTTTACAAGCCAGTGTAACTAATGTATACATGGTATAAATTTTAAAGATATAAGCTTTTATTCTATGTAGGAGCACCTTGAGTTTGTTACAAATACCTTCATCTCCACGAACGGTCTTTTTTTTTTTTTTTTTTAAAGATTTTATTTATTTATTTGAGAGAGAGAGAATGAGAGACAGAGAGCACGAGAGGGAGGAGGGTCAGAGGGAGA